CGACCCCATGTTGCCCGAGACCACGAGGCCTGCCCGCTTGAGCCATACTCCTCGGTCGCAGCTCGCTTGCGCCGTGCTCCTCAACCGCATGTTGCCCGAGACCACGCCTGTGCGGCTCGCCCGCCTGAGCCATACCCCTTGGCCGCAGCCCGCCTATGCCGTGCTCCTCGGCCGCATGTTGCCCGAGACCACACCTGCGTGGCCTGCTATCATTTGAATCTCGAGATAAAAATTTTGATGGATTTCTTGATCGGATCCGCGACCAAACACACAATAGCACCATTGATTAATTCCTTTTATCCAGAAAAAAAAAATGCTGCCATTTCAAACACTATGTACTAACTTTAACATCGTGGTAAAAGAAAATAATCGTTACCATTAAACCCCGCCTTGACACTTTTTTTACATGCTGTGCTTCTATATTGACTTCCCTTTCATAATCACAGGCAACTCTGCCGGCAGCCTAAGATGATACAACATTATAATATACAATGCATGGAAAATACAAGTCTCTCATGTGTTGCTATCAATTTCTATCTTCATTTTCTTTCCTTTGAAAGCTATCCTACGATCGTTCCTGATGCCATAAGGACAAGTAATTAAGAAATGCCAAAGCCCATCATGCTTACATATCGAGCCAAGTGCTATTATCCTGCACGTAGTTAGTCGCTATGCTGGTGGCAGGGAACGCCGGCAAGTTGGGCATTCCATTTTAATATCCATCCATCTCTGTAAGCATCCAGTATGGAAGAAATGATCACATGGTGTCACCTGTGCGATTAAAGCCAAACGATTAGGTTTCTAACCAGCAATTCAGTTCACAAGGGAAATGAAATGCAGAAGCTCCTCGATACCATGTAGTCATTGGATCGTTGTTGTGTGAGGAGGTCAATACCAGTCATGCAAATAACACAATCAGCAATCTGATTAGTATCGTTCTCGAGCTTCCGGTAGTAGCAATATTTCTCTGGTAGGATCTGAAAAATCAAATGACCAACAGTCAGATCACTAATAGTTAAACCAAACACGGACTACAGATGATGAGCTCTGGTGGCAAGACTCTAGACAAGTTAGTTTTCTCACTGCTACATAAAACTTAAACATGGTGATCATTATATCCAATAATTAACTGACCAACTATATAACTCAACTATCTAATGGTGCTAAAGAAGAAATACACGACAATATTGGTATCAAACTCAAAACATTAACTTCATGACTGATATGAAGGGGTGACTAGGGGCATGAATTAGCAGTCATCCAAATAGAAGAACAACAAAGTTCTACATCTTTTCTCTTCAAAAGAGGAGGTTTCAGATAAAGACCTACCTGACGAGGAATAAACCACCGAGATCCAAGAAAATACTGAAGCAGAAGAATCAATGCTTGCAATCCCATAAATAATCCCAAAAATATGCACCAACTTCTATCAACCTGTATGCGCAAAAAGTTGCTCGGGCAACCGAATACATATAACGGAATTGCAGCCCGAGTGAGAGTCATGCCTATTATATAATGAGGGTGCAGGGGTTTCCTTGTATCCCGAATGACATTAGTGATTATTTGGGGTATCCAAAAAGAATACATAGCAAAAAGAATGGGGCGTAGTAAATTGTGCAGCTCATACATCAATAGAATGCCTCCCAAAAGAATGCCATCTGCAAAGTAGCACAACTTGGTGAAGCATTGATAATATAAAGTAGCACAACTTGTTTAAGAATGATAGTAACCAACAAAAACATTAAAATTTAAGTTAATTATGAAATATCCGATAATTCAAAGATCTCATTGTTCTATAAATCTAGCTCATTCTGCTCATGAGATGACAAATCACAGCTAAATTTATTGATGTTCATTAGCAATAAGAAACAAAACCAAGCAATCAATTACTCCACAAGAAAAGGGCATCCAATCTGGCAAGAGCACATTGTCATGAGAGACGTTCATAGTATTACAATGCATCACATTCATATTAATATGAAACACATATCACATTCTTATCATTCTGACAGACATCATGTTTTTGCAACATATCAGGTATACTGCATGGTATGAACCAGCCCATAGTAGCATAGCAGTAGTGACACATGAACCAACTAACCCTAAAATTTAATTTGTTTTTACCAGCTTGTCCATGAAGTTTCTGTGAGCTTCTTCTTCAGTTTTTCCCTTCCTTTTCTCCTGGCATCCCTTGTATCTTTAAAGTAGATACTCCCCCTTCCAACCCTCCATATCCTATTGGCTAATGGCCTACCTCCCCTCATTAACACCTTCCCCTTCTCTTATGATGCTGACTGGCTGTCTGGCAGCCTCCATTCTCTGGAAAAGCATATTTGCAATGAACTTGATCCATTCAGGCAATCTATGCCTCTTGTTGCGGCGTTGCGCATTGGCTGCTCACAGCAGTCCATAGCAGAGACCTCCCAGAAGTGATCAGCAGCGAGTGTTGCACTATTATGTCACAGTGAATGGATGAAATAATTGTCCTTTTTTTATTTTGTTATTATTTTCTAGCCAGTGTTTGTGAATTTTTATTGTACTTGTGCCAGCCATGCCATCAAGACATCAGAGCATGCCATGTGTCAGCATATGATTGTACTGGTTAGTAGCAGTTTCCCAGGAACCAAAATAGTACCAGAATTTGAAACTGAAATCATAACAAAAAAATCATTTTTTGCCTATTTCTATCCTAAATATATTTTCACCTTGAGTCCATGGAGGGTTGATAAATAATCAGCAACGTCTAGCTTACCCACCACTGAGAATTTGGGACTTCCTCTTGAGGAGATTTTCATAGAAAAGAATAACTAAGATTCATCAAACTATGAAAGAACTAGCATTAAATTCTTCTCTAAAAATCAAATGAACAAAAGGTGGTTTTAGAAAAGGAATTTCACAATACTTATTG